TGCTAGGTAGATACAGGGATGAAAAACACATCTGCTGTCCTCAAGTTGGTGGGCAGAGAATTGGGATACTTGCAGTGAGGGCTGAGAAGGAGCACCAGGTGCCAGAGGAGCATGGGGGAGGAGTTCCTACCCAGCCTGGGTGTCAGAGACACTCCCTAAGAGAGGTGAAACCAGAGCTGAGACTTGAATGAGTTAATCATGCTTGAGGCAGAGGGAAGGGTAATTGAAGCACAGGGAACAGTGCATGCAAAGGTCAGAGGACACAAAGGCCCTTGTGAGAAGAATTATAATTATTCTACTTAGGATGGGGGAAGTGGCCAGAGATGTGGCCAGTAAGGAGGGTTCTGTCTGACAAGACAAGAATTTGTTACTATGTTCTTTAGGCATCAGGGAGCTATCAAAAAGCTCAACATGCATATGACATGAGTACTGAGTCCAAACTCATTCTGCTCGCCGCACAACAGGCCAATAAATCGGGAGACAAGGTGTTGGGGCAAGGAATAGCGACTTTATTCAGAAAGCTGGTAGACAGAGAAGATGGCAGACTAATGTCTTGGAGAACCATCCTACTCCAGTCAGAATACAGGCTCCTTTTATACAAAACAAACAAACAAACAAACAAACAAACAAAAACAGGGGAGGGGTGTGGTCGGTTGTTGCAAACTTCTTGCTGCAGGAATTCTTTGTTCTTGCAGCGTCCGTGTGGGTCAGGCCATGGTGTCCCTGTAAACCTCCAACAAAACAAAGGTTGTTCTCTATTTTGCAATTTGCCATCTCTAAGTAAGAGCAGAAGTGCTAACATCCTTAAAGGTCAGAGCCCAGAGAATAGGCTCTCCTGTCTATTTCAGGCTAAAGACAACATTGTTTTACAAAAGGTGCAGAGCTGGCAAGACTAAGCCTAGGAAACAGGGCACAGTGGTCAAAACTAAAGGAACAGATCCAATACAGAGTCAGAGTTGTTCTCCTCTATTACAAAATCTCTGTCTTAGAAAGATCTTAGCGGGCAACATTGAAGAGAGCGATCAGAAAGGGGAGGGAGTGGTTAAGGGATGATGAGGGCCTCCCAACAGGCTCTGATGGTTTGGGAGGGGAAGTGAGACACACTTACAGCTGGCCTCGATTGTGCAAGGTAATGCATGAGCATTGGCACAAGTGAGATAGAAGGATGGGGGGCTTAGGGTCAGAAGGTGCACTGGGAGAGGGGTAGAGACCAGGGCAGGGAGAGTGTAGGGAGCTGTGATGGTTTGGCAGAAGGGATAACAGAATTGTTCTGTTCGATCTGATTGAGTTGACCAGAGAAACACAACAGATTAATGGTTTCAGAGATAAGAATTAAGTTCCATCAAAGTGGACAGATCAAAAATACTCTTCAGAATACTGAAGTCTATCATACCACAAAGGGAACAAGCAGTCTGACTATGGATTAACTGACCAAATCCTGGGACTGTCGAATTGCGGGACACTTCCTGAAGTTCAAATAAAAGGAGAGAGCGTAAGGTTATCATATTGATTTTCCTGAAATATTATTTGACTGCATTACCTAAGGTTCAAAGCCCTCCAGATATTCTCCATGGCCACAGGATGGAGGCATAAGCATTTTTCCTGTCTGCAACATCTTCTACTGTGGAAGCCAAGAGGAACCACATAGACTGCTTGGAACTACCTATAGCTTCTGAACTTCACTTCTCTGCTTGCCAAGAACTCCCTGTGCCTGCCTCTCCATACATCTTAATCCTTCCTTTACTTCAAGGGTCAGCTGAAATCTCATCTCTTCTGGAAAGTCTTCCTTCATCCAAATTGAAAGGGATCTCTTCCTTCCCTACATTATGACAGAACCTACCTGTCTTTACTACTCATTACACATTCATATGTTGTCTTGCATTGTTACCTTTTCATAATCCCTGTACCCTGTCTCTCTAACTAGTTGATAAACTTTTTGAGATTGGGTTATCTATTGCTGCAAAATAAACCACCCTAAAAATCAGTGGCTTAAAATATCCTCCGCTGGACAGGAATTCAGGCATAAGCTCAGTTGGGCAGTTTTTCTGTCTTATATGGAGTCTACAGAGCTCACTTGGTGGGATTCAGCTGATGGACAGACAAATAATAAGGGTACAAGATGGTTTCACTTGCAAATCTGGTGGCGTAGCTGGAACATTGGGCTTAGCTGGGTATATTGACTGGAGCAGGTATAGACTTGGCCTTTCCAGTATGATGCCCTCAGGGTAGTCAAATTTCTTCCAAGGTGAGTCAGGATCACCAGAATGAGTGCTCCAAATGGCTGAGTGGCAGCTGCAAGGCTTCTATGACCTGGCCTTGGAAATCCCAGAATTTCACTTTTGCCACATTCTGTTGGTCAAGCAAATCATTAAGGCCAGCTAAGGTTCAAAGGGAATGGAATTAGACTATCTTTTAATGGGAGCAGTAGCAAAGAATATGAAACCATCTTTATTCTACCACACAAGATTGTCTTAAGACCTAGGCAAGCAAAACGCCTGGTCCAGGTCCCAGGCCTCAAGGAGTCCCACACTTTGGAGAATGATTTTAAGTTTTTCTAAGTCCTCCTTAAATGGCTGGGATCATTCTAGGCTGATTCTTCTCTTCAGGGTACTCTCCAACTCTTCACTCCATGCATGGGGTTGACCAGGTGCCCTGAAAAGTTTCAGGGCTCATACCTGTGGGTTGTCCAGGGCAACTTAACAAGTAGATTGCTTCTATTGGCCAGAACAGTATGGTTTTTGTGGCACTCTATCAGAACAGGCCACCAGAGTGGTACTGACTTGCTGATTTCAGGTGATTTCCATTCACATTGAATACAGAATGAATTTAGGATTCTGGGCTACTGATAGTCCACCAGTGAGCCTTGGGTTTGAGCCACCTGTGTGGGTCCATGCCATGGCTCTTGCCAGCCTATGTTTTGACCACTACTAGGCTGCCTCAGGTCTACAGCACACCCAAATAGTGGGGGTAGCAGCATACTTTGCCCTGTGTGGGGCTCCCTACCTCTACCTGGTAAGGGTGGTCGCCTCATCCTGTCTACAGGCTTTGCACCATGTCAGGCAGTCCTCCAGAAGTGGCCATGCATATCTACCCCACTCAAAACCATTACTCTGCCAACTGGCTTTTACACTCAATGTCCTCTCTTTCTTCTGATCAACGTAGTAAACCCATGAGCCACTGGGTTGGTCTTAAGCAGGGCCAGGTGAGGACCATGTATTCTGTGCATGAGTGGGACTTTTCTTCTTGCTCCACTCATGGGCCCCTAGACTAACCATCCTTTTCCCCTGCCAACTGGTTTCAGTATGAGTAAGTCAGGGGTGCAGTCAACACTGAAGGAGATATATTCTAGGAAAGCAGAGATTACAGCCTAAAGAATTCAAGAAAATACATGGTTGAAAGACGTATTATTGTACATTTATACTTCAAAATTCTGAACAATGAATTATTATTTCTATTTTACTGCATACTCTGGGCAAAAACTGCCAGTAGTGTCATCATCAGCAAAGGACAGTAACAAGCTATGGGTCACCGGAAGTCAGTATTCATGGGCAATGTGAAGGATGATGCAGCATCATGAGAAATGGTGTAACTAGCGTTAAATAAATAACTCAAGACTCACTTTCAGGTATCATTTCCTCTTTGAAGCCCTCCTGAATCCCCAAACTAGACTAAGTGTCCCTTCTCTGTCATCCAATAGTTACTGATTAACTCTACTGGCATTTAAGATACCCCATGATCTGGCTCCAACTTTCCTTCTACTATTATTATTGCCCCAAGCTCCCGAAACCCAGCCACAGAAGATCCATGTTCTTTCCCCCTATTTGCCTTTGCTCACGCTATCTCCTCAGCCTCATTGCCCTCCGCTTCATCTCCACCAGGCCCATACAATAAACATTTACAGAGTTAGCGTTAGTGGTTAATGTGTGCAAGCCACTGCTAAAACTGTTGATTTTGAAGGCCCTATTCATACGCTATTTAGCCCATGAACCCTTCTTGCTCTTCTCTGGATAAATGATACTATGTATCAATTCTAGCACTTATTCTACCTAATAATATAGCTTGATGGCATGATCAGCCCTTTCAATAGACTATGAGAGATGAGGGATTTGAGGGCTGTGTCTTACTCGTATTCCTCCCCCCAATATCTGTGCCAGGTAATAGGGGTGCTTATTAATAAACATTAGAATAAATGGGAAAAATAAATGGGAAACAACATACATGGGTGGACAGTCTCTTGGGATACAAAACTGGGTGGGATCCAGGATACAGGAAAACAGAAGCATCAATTGTCAAAGGAAGAGGAACATCTCCTCCCTTGGGAGGAACTGCAGATAAGCCTGGAAGCATGGAAACGGATTAAGTCTATATGGAGAGGCCGAAGTGACCAAATCCTTCAAGTCCTAACTCAAATACTACCCCCAGCATTAAGTCTCATGAATCTCCTACCAGAGCGGACTTTAGCTCGGCTCGGTCTCTTTCGACTTTCACCTAGCAGATGTTTATTTGTACACAAATCTTATTTCCTTTTCTGTATCTCGACCTCTCTGAGGGCGGGAAGAACCGGTTTCCCCCACAGCACAGATGATACATGGTAACCACTCATTCACTGTGGGTTTATTACATGGATAAATGGGGTAGGGGGCGAAATAGGAGATGTTTGTGCCACAGACTCCAGTGAAGAGTGAAATCTCTAGGCCCACAATTAAACAGTTCAACTCGAAGTCAAGCAGGAACCCTCCTAACCTTCTCCAGCAGGGAAGAGCCTTCCATCGCGGGCCTCCAACCTTGCTCTGAGGACCCCACGTCAGTACTCTAAGACTGCCCTTGCCAATGCCTGACTCAATGCTGAAGACAGCCTCTTGCCAAAATCTATACTTCCTCGTCCCCTAAATGAGTCAGAACCTCTGAATACACTTATCCTTCTTCTCTAGGCCTCTTTTCTCATTTCCCTTCTTCTTTCTCTCAGCCACCACCAGTCGGGCGCGCGTTGAGGCAGCCCTAGCCGGCAGAGGAGGGAGGGTCCTGCGACCGGAAGCCGGAAGCGGGTTTGTGAATACGTGTTCCGAGGAAGCCAGAGCGGACCCGGCGGGGCCGGCAACATGGAGCCGTTGTACCAGCAAACACACAAGTGAGGGTCGCGTCGGGCATGGGCTGGGGTGAAGCCAGGCTGGGCGAAGCCTGCCCCCCGGGCTGGGGCCTCGGGCATCTGCCAGTATGGAGGCTGAGTCCTTCCACTCGGGCGCTGCCGTGGGGGCAGCTCGGAAGTGCTTAATCTCTGGCGGGATGTCCAGGTTAACGGCGATCAGAGGGTCCGGCCTGATGCCTGAGGACATTGAGCCGAATGCCTTCTGGAATCTTCGAGGCCGTGACTACCAGCTGGGTAGACTAGGTGATTGGAAAGTCGCACCTACAGGTTATAGTACTTTGTTTAGAAGCTGCCACCAGTGTGGTCCGGGGTGGTAGAGCTGGTTGGGGAGTCAGGGCCCCTTCACACAGGAGTTTACAATTTAGTGAGTCGAGGCACGTACAAAAAAGGATTTGACATGTGTGGTACGATGGGATAGAAGGTAAATTAGCAGTACAAACAGGATCTCCTTAAGCAGTTTAGAAGGATTCATCACTGGGTTAAGGTCGTCAGACAAAGTTTAATCAATAGCTCACAGCTGTATGTCAGTCTACTCTTGATTGACCCAGATTTTGTTGCTGCTACACTGTGATTTTTTTCTTTTATTCTGATTTTGGTTTATACTTAAGACAATGTTTTTATTATACAAAGAAATCGCTTTACGGATAGCGTTCAGTATTATTACAGTACTTGGTATTCATATCTGGTTACAGATTACCTTTAAGGAAATTGAATTTTGGTTTAGCATCTCATAACTTAAATTTCTTGGTAGTATCCTTTATTCATATTGTCCTGAATTTTTGGAACTTGGTGTGATATGGAAATAGGGTTATATCTATCCTGTTTGGATTTTTATGATTTATTTTTTATTGTGGTAAAACATACATAACAAAATTTACCATTTAAAAGTTAATCATTTAATTTTTATTTAAGTTACCATTATCACTTAATTTACCATTTAAAATTGTAATCATTTCTAAGTGTTCAGTTCAGTGACATCAAGTAGTTTCACAATGTTGTGTAACCATCAACATTATCCATATTCAGAACTTTTTCATTATTCCAAACAGAAACTGGTGCCCATTAAGCAGTACCTTCCCATTCCTCCCCAAGTCCCTGATAACCTCCGTTCTACTTTGTCTCTGAATTTGCCTATTCTAGATATCTCATATAAGTAGAATAATACAGTATTTGTCCTTTTGTGTCTGGCTTATTTCACTTAACATTATGTTTCCAAGGTTCATCTACGTCATAGCATGTATCAGTATATCATCCCTTTTTATGGTTGAGTAATATCCTTTTGTGGATATACACACATACCACGTTTTGTTATCTGTTCATCTATTGAAGGACACTTGGGTTGCTTCCACGTTTTGGCTGTTGTGAATAATGCCACTAAGAACATTGGTGTACAAATATCTGAGTCTCTTTTCAATTTTTTGGAGTGTATACCTATACCTATTCTATTTTAACAACTTCCAAGTTTATGCTATAGTTTTGTGCTGATGAAAACACTTAAACACACCCCCAGAACGTGGGAAAGAAATAAAATGGGGACCTGCCTCCCTAATGAATTCACAACTAAAGGAGTACTTTGAAGCATTAGAATGAAAGGATAATGATCCTCTTATTTCATTTTCTAAGTTTATGTTTCATTTTCATTTCTTTAAGTTACTATTTCACTTTCTACTTTTCTTTCTTTTGCTCTATTGATGAAGTGTTTGGTTTGGGCAGGTGAAAATATAGAGCCTATTCTGTAATAGTATTGAAATGACAAACTTGGTCTTACACTGGGGTACCCTATTCTCATAAAAATTATGCTCATGTTACTAAGAAAGGGCAGATCTTTTACAATAGCAAAGCACAGTGGACTGAGTAGTGCTTTGAAGTTGATCTGTGATGTACAGTCTCATCTGGTTAGTTAATTTGGTTAAAGGATGTTGCTAAGGAGGCTGTGACCCAGTTTAGTCTTAAGAATAATTTTGTTCACAGAGTCAACCTGTTATTAGTGCAGCAGGTAGCTGATCACAGAGTAAACTAGGTTTGCTCAGTTCCATGTAAACTTAGAGGAGGAATACTAAATGGTGTCCCAAACAATTTTGTGGACTGTAAATGAACTCCTTACCTCTGCAGGCCTCCAGTGACCTACACTCAGACTCTGTAGACCCTTGGGCTCTATAGCAGGGCTCACCAGCTTTTTCTATCAAGAGCCAGGTAGTAAATATTTTAGGCCTTGCGGGCCATACGGTCTCTGTGGCAGCTACTCAGTGCTGCCATTGCAGTGTGAAAGCAGCCATAAGATGATATTTAAACAAATAAATGTGACTGTATTCCAATAAAACCTTTTTTTAAACAAAAACAGAGTGGGCCAGATTTAGCCAACCACTGTTAGACCCTCTACTATACAGTTGCTCAGTCATTCAGTGAATATTTATTGAGCACCTACTATATGTCAGGCACCATTCCCAGTGCAGACGGTACAGCCCTGCCCTCAGGGATTTTACCTCATACCATGCTGCAGTATATTCTGATATGCCTCCTTTCCCCTCAAGAACTAAACCAGAACTCAGAATTCTGGTTCTAGACTGCTTCACTTTGTTTTCCTCATGTATGAAATAAAAGCTTGGGTCTGATTAAACTGTAAGGCTTCTTTCAGTGATTGTCTTTAAAAGGAAACGCAGAATCCTGTGCACATCAGCAGTTCACTTTTGCAATTGCAGAAATTAATGATTATAGCTGAACTGACACAATAGTAATGGAACATCTTAATTTTACTGGAACTTTGAACCCAACTTGTAGTTATCTCTTGCCATGTTCCTGAAAGTACATTGGAATTACATCAACATTTTAAAGTTACATATCTTGAAAACTCCTGAACTGAGTAATGAATGAAAAAAGAAAGATGAAAAACAGTAAACATTTTACACTTAAACAACACTGCATTAGGATGAACTTTATAGAGGAGCTAATAGCCAAGCTTCTATTTTTGAGATCCTAGTGCTTGTAAAGGTGCCCATATTTGTCCAGGATCATTCAGTGTCCCAGACCTTTTTATCACTAGAGATTCTTATTCAATAGGTTTGGGGCACAAGCAGCTCTATTTTTAACAAGCTCTCCAGGTGATTTTGATGAACAGCTGGGTTTAAAAACTATTACCTTATCTCAAGACCAGTTTTTCCTTTTTTTGATTTTGCTTCTGATGAGAGGCTAAATATAGTAGAGGCAAAGTGGGTGAGGCGAAAATGCCCAGATGGTTCCCACTACTTTTAAGTAAAGTAAAAACAACAAACTTCTGTATGATTCTATAGGAGTTGCACAGCAATTTCATATTGCATTTGGATCTACGACCCTTTAAATAATTGTGATTATCAGTATTTTGTTTTATAGTTGAGGAGACTGAGGCACCAGGGAGTTAAGTGACTTGTTCAGTGTCCCTCAGCTACTACAATAGTGGAACTAGAACTTCAGCGCAGATCTTTTAATTCCAAAACCCTGCCCCTGCTCCAGCTGGTCAGAGGCAGCACAGATGCAAAGTGGGAGTATATGAGGGGGTGAGGATGGGAGCAGTAGTTCCATGGACTTTTAAAAAGCAGTTCTGTTTTAGAATTCTTCCTAGATCTTCTGCAGACCTTTTTTTTTTTTTTTTTTT